TTCCAGGGTGCGGTAGGCTCCCACTGTTCCAGGGTGCGGTAGGCTCCCACTGTTCCAGGGTGCGGTAGGCTCCCACTGTTCCAGGGTGCGGTAGGCTCCCACTGTTCCAGGGTGTGGTAGGCTCCCATTGTTCCAGGGTGTGGTAGGCTCCCACTGTTCCAGGGGGTGACAGGCTCCCACTGTTCCAGGGGGTGACAGGCTCCCACTGTTCCAGGGGGTGACAGGCTCCCACTGTTCCAGGGGGTGACAGGCTCCCACTGTTCCAGGGTGCGGTAGGCTCCCACTGTTCCAGGGTGTGGTAGGCTCCCATTGTTCCAGGGTGTGGTAGGCTCCCACTGTTCCAGGGGGTGACAGGCTCCCACTGTTCCAGGGGGTGACAGGCTCCCACTGTTCCAGGGGGTGACAGGCTCCCACTGTTCCAGGGGGTGACAGGCTCCCACTGTTCCAGGGGGTGACAGGCTCCCACTGTTCTAGGGGGTGACAGGCTCCCACTGTTTCAGGAGGTGACAGGCTCCCACTGTTCCAGGAGGTGACAGGCTCCCTCTGTTTCAGGGGGTGACAGGCTCCCACTGTTCCAGGGGGTTACAGGCTCCCACTGTTCCAGGGGATGAAAGGCTCCCACTGTTCCAGGGGGTGACAGGCTCCCACTGTTCCAGGGGATGAAAGGCTCCCACTGTTCCAGGGGATGAAAGGCTCCCACTGTTCCAGGGGGTGACAGGCTCCCACTGTTTCAGGGGGTGACAGGCTCCCACTGTTATAGGGGGTGACAGGCTCCCACTGTTATAGGGGGTGACAGGCTCCCACTGTTATAGGGGGTGACAGGCTCCCACTGTTATAGGGGGTGACAGGCTCCCACTGTTTCAGGAGGTGACAGGCTCCCACTGTTCCAGGAGGTGACAGGCTCCCACTGTTTCAGGGGGTGACAGGCTCCACTGTTCCAGGGGGTGACAGGCTCCCACTGTTCTAGGGGGTGACAGGCTCCCACTGTTCCAGGGGGTGACAGGCTCCCACTGTTCCAGGGGGTGACAGGCTCCCACTGTTCTAGGGGGTGACAGGCTCCCACTGTTTCAGGAGGTGACAGGCTCCCACTGTTTCAGGAGGTGACAGGCCCCACTGTTCCAGGAGGTGACAGGCTCCCACTGTTTCAGGGGGTGACAGGCTCCACTGTTCCAGGGGGTGACAGGCTCCCACTGTTCTAGGGGGTGACAGGCTCCCACTGTTCCAGGGGGTGACAGGCTCCCACTGTTCCAGGGGGTGACAGGCTCCCACTGTTCTAGGGGGTGACAGGCTCCCACTGTTTCAGGAGGTGAC